TTTACCTGCAAGCCGATCAGCTTGCTCATTTCCTTGCACGCCTGCGTGCCCTGGCACAAATATGAAACTAATATGTGTCAGCCCAGACCGCTTTAGAGACTCCACCCACTGCCTTCGGATCAAGCCTTTCTCTATTTTCCTGGGTATACTTATTGAGTCAGTGAGGAACATTATTATATACGACTATAGAGCATGCACGGGAAAAGGTCTGTGTTTTCAGCCATGTTATTGCTATGGTCACTGCCATGACCTCCATAGAATACTTTCACAATTCTAACTCCAGCCTGAGCCATAAAAGCCCAAGAGCTTCTCATTTAACGAATTACTGACCCATCTGTATGAACGACTTCATCCCCCTGTAGAGAATTCTCGAAAATCAAAGCCTGCACTACTGCCTCAGTAGCGGCTGGACTTTCTTGTCTGCATTATCTGTCCTAAAAAATGCAAAAAGAAAAGGTCATGCCTCACTCTGTTGGTATTTGTACCCATTCCTCACTAGGACCCATGTCCTCAAGTGAACACACCTGCTGAATAATGTCCTCAGCCTGGCCCATCCACGATATTTCTATTTTTTAACCTGCTGCTTTTTTTTCTTATTAATTTCACTATGCAGCAGGTGTCGTGCGTCTGTGTTGACTCTGAGGTAGGCACCTGCTTGGCAATTTTGAATTCTGTCCTCCATAGTTGGAAAATCGTAAAAGTAGGGCATTGCCCTGCATGCTGCATATCTTGTACATCCAAGTATAATGCGCATGGCGTCGTTCTGTATCCCTTTCCTACTCTCCATCTGCTTGTGGCTGAGAGTGGCCAAGTCACTTAAGTCGCCTCATCCCTGAAGTAGTGATGGATGGTCGTTGGAGCTGCAGAGTACCTTCTAGACCAACATCCTAACAATAAATCACTCCAGAGTGTAGTTTATGACTTGGGTAACCCTATATAAGACAAGTGACACCATCGTCTCGTGACATCTGTTTCTTATTCTTATTAAAACGTATATGGATAAATTACCCTCGACCCTGGCTAAACCAATCAGCATGAATGGGCATTTACTTTAACCAAATGGCGTCTGCTGCATTATTTTCAAGCTTCTGCAATATCTGTGTAATCGCCACTTACTTCTTCAACGTCATTTGCTGCTTCATGCGCTTAATCCACTGTGGTCCATAAAGTGGGATGCCATCTCAAGGTCTCTTAGGTTCCCCAGAGCTTAGTTGTCAGGTCCACTGAGTGTGGCCACATGCTGCTCCACAACAGGGGGCAGTCTTGCAAGACATATTCTGGAGTCTGTCCAACACGAGGACACTGGCAGAGAGCGGTTTGGCTCATCCCTGATTTATATGAGTGTTGAGTCTGCAGTGTCCAGTGCGTAAGCGAAAAACTGTGACTTGGTGTGTTCTCATCAGGTGTTTGAGGAAATCTTGTTCATAGTTACAACCTGTGTTAGTTTCTAATCTGCTTATGGTTTTTCTCTTAATGAGGGTTTTGACTTCTAGAAAAGATGATGGCTGGCAGATTTGTGGAATGCTGCTGTCATCTTTGGCTAAAGCTTTAGCGCTTTCATTTCCTTTAATGACAAAATGAGATGAAAGCCACTGCAGGTAGGTTTCTGCCTTTGATGACAAGACAGCAAGGTCAATTTCACATGTAAAATTCCATATGTGTCAGGTTCATTACAAATTGTCACCTCATCCTCCATTTCAACAAAGGCTTTCAAATCCCTTTCTTCGAAATCTGCCATCGGCGATGCAATGTCAGATGGGACTACAACATTATTCTCCTGTGTTGTGACGAATAAAACACTTCTGCATTACATTCGAATGATAATTATTCCAAGCAGAACGGGACAGCATCAATTAATTATTTACGTATACAATTTGTAAGGAAGTGAGGCGAGCGTGGTTTGGGAGTCCCTAATTTTTACTTACCTAATTGAAAATGAAAGAAGGGTGGGGGGGGGGGGGGGGGCCTTAAGATGTCTGAGGTCCAATCCAAGTTTTGCCTCCTAGGTGCTAAGGAGAACGTGGTTGAGCTGAGGTTTTATTGGAAGGGGGGGGGGGGGTGGGGTGCTTACAGACACATTTAATGGGGATGCAGATCTCTATAGACGCTAGGCGGCCATTAGATTGCAACTTCCGGTTATTCACGGACAAACTCACTGCGACGGTGTAAATAGGGGAGTATTGACCCTTCCTTATCAAGAAACAATTTTCCCACTCTCTTTACGTGAAGTAAGTAAATTTTACCCCGCCAGGACATCAGACAGAGCGATAGGCAACCGGTGAACAAAGTACCACCATGCGGATGAAGATCACCCGTGGAAAGGTCCCGGAAACCCCGTTCAACAGTAAGGTTATATTTAGGGCTCCCAGCAACAGCCAGGTTTGGCTTAAATTTACGGAAAATTGTATCCCACAAGGGGATGTAGAATGATTTACGTGAAAAATCATATGGAGACAATTATTAGGAGTTATTGCAGAAATGCCAGGTTGTGACAAAACTCGTTTTTGGCGCGCAAATTATTAATTAATTTTTTTTTTGGCAGCAAGCAGTGTATTTCACGGTAAAAAAAAAAAAAGGTAAAGTCGGGAGATGTGAAGCAGCATCATTGCACACGGCTATGAACCATAAGTGCTCTGTCACCAGTACGGACAGCTGATGAGACAATGTCCGCACGTAACTCCGTAGCTACAGACATAGAGGCTGGGTGAAGCTGGGGAACCACTTAGTTTCGAATATCGGTTGTAGGCTGCAGCGAGTCGCAGCTAGATTCTAAAGCGAGTCCTCCCTTTGTGTGTTCCGGGGCCCCATTGTGGGGAAAACCAGAACAGACCCTTTGCCTACCCAAAAGCATGTCGTAAGAGTCGACTAATTGGGGAGCTTCCTTTGAAGTCGGAGTGCATCTGCCTGAGAGGCAAGGAACCAACAGTCTGCATTCAAGTGAATCAGATATGTAAAACTGATGCACATGCAACACTCAGGTTCTGGAGCAGGACTGCAGTTCAGAAGTGGATGAGCAACCAGAACTTTCCACCAGAGTGTACAGCTGGTGAACGCGAAGAAGAAGAAGAAGAAGAAAAAGAAGAACAAAGCGAGTTCCAGTATTTCGCGGTGTAAAACATCACTTGCATCCCTACACACACTGTACTTACATTTTCAATCATTATGAAAAGTTAACACGGTGTAAGTTAACCTTAATTTGAATTATATTATGTTAAAAAATAATATTTTCAACGTGTTTTAATTTTACCGTATTAAACAGGTTTTTCTTTCATGCATGTAGTCGGGAGTCACTTTGCCTCTAAAAAATGCGGTCGCGACTCGAAAACGCTTGGGAACCACGGGCGTAACGGAAATGCTTTTTAAACTACGACCACGACACACTGTTGCCACTTTGGATCTTTTATATCCAAATTTAGATCTTTTTCATAGCATTTAGATATTGTTTTTGACGTTTAGATCGTAAATATATTTCTAGATTCTTTTATATGGAGTTAGATATTTTATAGATTTTTTTTTCAGTGTCAGTTTAATTATTACTGTGTAAAATATTTAGTACAAAATTTTTGTTTTGGTCTGGCACGTACATTGTGACAGCTGCCATTATTTGAACTTTGAATTCTCACTGGGGTCAAAGCACAAATATCTGGCAGCCCCGGTACTGATTAATAAAAACGCGCGTAAATCATACTAACTTTGTTTCAACCGTATCCTCACTGTGCTGACTTTGCGTTTCTTTTTCATGTGATTTAAAAAAATAATTGCTCGTCTTCTTATGTGGCTTTCACTTTGAAAAAACCTTTCAACATGCCAAAAGTAAAGTATGAGCAAAAAATTTGGAAAGAGTGGTTGCATGATGACAAAATTAAAAACTGGGTGATAGCAGTTCCTGGGGATATGACCAAAGCTCGGTGTAAGTACTGCAAGTGTGAAATTAAAGTGAAAATACAAAACTCAAAGAGTCATGCGGAGACTAAAAAAGCATAAAACTGCAGTTCCATTTAAAGATATTACACCGCTGACATCTGTTTTCAGAACTATACTGATAATTGAATCATCAAAAGTTGAAGTATCAGTCACATTGTTTTAAATTTGTCACTGTGCAATTTCAAACTGTGACCATTTGATCGATTTGTTAAAACATCTTGGACTAGTTCAATTGGAAAAGTGTGATGTAGAAAGTATAGTTTAGGAACATGCTTCATCTAAATATTTACCAAGGATTTTGGAATACCTTATTGCAGAAACACTTTACTGGTTTTCCATATTATTTGTCAGACAACAGCTAAAAAACACCACCGAAAATTATGCCAGATTGCAAAACTAGATTGTCATCAATTTAACCAGCTGTTGAAAGAATTATGAAGCAATGGTTGAAGTTGAAGACACACTTTGAAATAACAAGACAACGGGAAAAGTGCTACACAGCTGAAATACTATATGGAATGTACAGTGATGAAAAAAATGTTGGAATCTAAACATGTTGATAAAGTTAAATTACTTGATGATCTCACTTTGCTATTTCACTCAGCTGGTAAAAGACTGGTGTTGCTATCGTGCCATTAAAATTCGGCCTGATGAGACTAGGGAAATAAGCCTACTGTTCCACTTATACAGAAATTTGAACAGCTAAAGCATACCAGGGTCATTTTGGATCTCAAGCTCCAACTTCATTTTCCAAGCTAAGTTTATCCTGTGGATCTTGTAAGGCAGACATCAGTGAAGGTGAGGACATGATTATGTAGGGTAAGTCATAACAAAAGCTGTGTAATTTTTGACTATTTCAATTTTGATGTTTATTCTAGATCTTTTCCACGCAGATTTAGATCTTTTTAGATATTTTTTGACACCGTTTTGGATATTTTTTGTCAAAGAAAAGTGGCAACACGGCCACGACATCCGCTCTATTAGAATATACACGTGGTAGTCTACTTTATTCTGTCATTCAGTGTTTGACCGTCACTTTCACAGCTCCAGTAAATTGAACACCTAAGCTGCAACCTATGGTAAGTTCAATGCTTGTATTTTTTCAGTTTTTCATTTTGTTCCGGTAAAAAAAAAATCGATTGAGGTTGAATAAATGACAGAAAACAGTGAATGATTAATAACAGTAGCTGAGTAGCTTGGACATCCAAGTCCAAGGAAGACCCACGGTTAAAGACAAACGTTAAAGGGGCTAACGATACAGGACTGAGTTCTCAATTCACGATGTCAATAAAAACTTGCACTGGATTTAGAAACGGAATGAGAGAATAGACTGCGAGACTGTGTGGTATCATTTGAAGTAAAGGCACAATGGGATAATCATTGTTTATTATTCGCTCCATAGATTATATGACTGCCTGTAACTTACAGTGTAGGCCTAAGCTAGTTTTTGATTTAATTTGATTTATTATTTATTTTCTATCAATTGGTGTTTAGTCCAAATTTATTTTTTGGGCCTTTTGCTTTTAAACTATTAAACCATGATAGCTGTTTAGAGGTTTAAAAACAGCGTTCAACGGTACCTCAGTAAAGCCTGTTTGTCAGTTCTCAGGAATCGGAGATATTCAAATTTTAGTGATGAAAACTAGTCTAACAAATTTATAATTTTAGATAATGACTAAAACAAGATGGCGGCGTGTCCCCAAATAAACAAAGGAGCTGAAATGGTATAATTTATAATAATTTATATGTTTATTGGCTATAACTTTGTTTTTTTTCTGAACCCTATATAGCAACCATATATATTTGCGTTCGGGGTACTAAGCCCTGATTTAGAATGTTATTTATTTATAGATACGAATAAACGCATACGTAATTAGCATAAAAAAGGGTCGCCGGTATATTATTACAAACATAATACACTTTCGGTTAACAAATATTTGATAGCGAGCATAGCAAGGTAGATATTGTTGGATGCGGGCAGGTGAGACGATTCTACAGAACATATCTTAAGTTTTTATATCAAGTTACGTGACGTAATTAAAATAAAAATGGCCGCCGGTATATTATTGCAAACGAAATACGCTTTCAGTACGAGTACAGTAATTGGAGGAAGTTGCAGTAGCTGCCGCTCGTGAGTCGAGAAGCAGGTCGGCAAGTAACGTATCGCCGAGACCCTGTCAGAGCTTGTGTTTCGTTATCCCGAGCCGGCACATATATTTTTAATAGAACTGACCCGCATTTGGATATTCTTTCATATTTTATGGCCAATTTAGCTCTCTTTAGAACGCCATCATATTAAAGCCGCCATTTTGGGGGATAATTCAAGTGAGAGCCAAAATTGTTGATATTTAGATATTAGTGAAAAGTCTTTCTGTCACTGTCATGCTAAGGAATAATGTGTTTCTGTTCTAGATGCAGCAGAAAGCAGAGATTTGCCCTTTGTTACTTAAGGTAATTCATAATGTGCTGGACAGATGCAGGCATGGAGGTCATAAACGACTCCGCAGTGAACAGCATAAACTCACAAAAGCTGATCTGGTAGGAAGCCACATAAATATTTTACTTCTAAATTTTTAGTTAAAGTACCGTCTCAACGATGATTATTTTCTGTGTGGTACCCAAGTCTCCCGAACTAGACGTTCTCTAGATGCTGATTTGCCTGTCTCTTCATATTATTAGCTTACCAGTTCTACCTCTGGCCCATCTGTCTTTAACTTTTCCTGCTAGTAAAATCTTTCTATTCTTTCCACCTTAATCATCATGTAGCAGGTCCTTTGCAGAATGTCGCTCTCATCACAGTCTTCCTGAAAGAAACTCGGTCTCTTGCCAGTTCTCCCTCCTCATGCACATTCACACTCAAGGAGTCACTTATATCCTGTGCCCATCTTCGTGACGGTCAGCCCCTGCCCCTCCTTCTTGGTATCATGCCTTCTGCTACTATTGTTTTCAGTCCGCCATGGCGCTTGATATGACCAAAATATTTCAGCTTCTGAGACAGGATGCTGTTTATTAGCCAATCTTCCTTGATGTTCAGATCTTTCAAGATGTCAAATATTTCTCATCTTCTTTGTCCAAGATATTCTGAGAATCTTTCTATAGCATTTCAGCTCAAAAGCCCCTATTCTCTTTCTAAATCACATCTTAACCACCTTAATCACATTCTCTTATTATTTTATCCCTGTGGTTCTACTGCAAGGAAATTCTAGTTATAATATCAGATTGTGTCCAATCCAATGCCAGTCTTTTCTTCTTGATTCATGCTGGAATTCTTTTAGTTCTTTCTCCAAAGTTTCAAATTCGTGGTTCAATCAGTTAATTTATTACCCTCAATTCTATTCAGGCACAACTTTATGAATGAATATATTTTTTTTAGTAATTAAGTCATTCGCCTGTGACTGTAAAATGTTATGTATCTTGACCTTTAGCATAATTTTACTTATTAACAGATAGTTGTCACTAAACACATCTAAATGATACATTTATTATTCTAGAACTCACTGCTTGGTCGCTGTTTATGACCTTTTTTCAGTAGTATTAGCACCTTTCCTTCACTACAAGAAAAATAGGGGAAGGTCTTTTGCTCATTTATGACTCGAACAGAAAAGTTCCATTCCTGTTTATATTTTTACCTGTTTCAGTCTGCCTGGTTTCACTTACTCCTTCAATATTTTCTGCATTATGTTTTATTTCTGTTAGCACCTCAGCTGCACATTCTAGTTCATACAAATTTATAACTAAGCAATTTTGTTACTTCTTTATTAGAACTGTCTATAGCCAGTTCGGTGTTGTGGCTGGAGTGTTTTACAAAATGAGATAGCATTAGCCAACCCTAGCCTTGGATGCCTGATATGACATTTGTCACTAACTTACACATTACCTACATTTGTCACTAACTTACACATGACCAACATTTGTCACTAACCTACGCATAACCTACATTTGTCACTAACTTACACATGACCAACATTTGTCACTAACTTATGCATAACCTACATTTGTCACTAACTTATGCATAACCTACATTTGTCACTAACTTACACATGACCAACATTTGTCACTAACTTACGCATAACCTACATTTGTCACTAACTCACGCATAACCTACATTTGTCACTAACTCACGCATAACCTACATTTGTCACTAACTTACACATAACATACATTTGTCACTAACTCACGCATAACCTACATTTGTCACTAACTTACACATTACATACATTTGTCACTAGCTTACACATTACATACATTTGTCACTAGCTTACACATTACATACATTTGTTACTAGCTTACACATAACCTACATTTGTCACTAACTTACACATTACATACATTTGTCACTAACTTACGCATAACCTACATTTGTCACTAACTTACGCATAACCTACATTTGTCACTAACTTACACATAACCTACATTTGTCACTAACTTACACATAACCTACATTTGTCACTAACTTACACATAACCTACATTTGTTACTAACTTACACATAACCTACATTTGTCACTAACTTACACATAACCTACATTTGTCACTAACTTACACATAACCTACATTTGTCACTAACTCACACATAACCTACATTTGTCACTAACTTACAAATAACCTACATTTGTCACTAACTCACACATAACCTACATTTGTCACTAACTCACACATAACCTACATTTGTCACTAACTCACACATAACCTACATTTGTCACTAACTCACACATAACCTACATTTGTCACTAACTTACACATAACCTACATTTGTCACTAACTTACACATAACCTATATTTGTCACTAACTTACACATAACCTACATTTGTCACTAACTTACACATTACATACATTTGTCACTAACTTACACATAACCTACATTTGTCACTAGCTTACACATAACCTACATTTGTCACTAACTCACACATAACCTACATTTGTCACTAACTCACACATAACCTACATTTGTCACTAACTTACACATAACCTACATTGGTCACTAGCTTACACATAACCTACATTTGTCACTAACTTACACATAACCTACATTTGTCACTAACTTACACATAACCTACATTTGTCACTAACTTACACATAACCTACATTTGTCACTAGCTTACACATAACCTACATTTGTCACTAACTTACACATAACCTACATTTGTCACTAACTTACACATAACCTACATTTGTCACTAACTTACACATAACCTACATTTGTCACTAACTTACACATAACCTACATTTGTCACTAACTTACACATAACCTACATTTGTCACTAACTTACACATAACCTACATTTGTCACTAACTTACACATAACCTACATTTGTCACTAACTTACACATAACCTACATTTGTCACTAACTTACACATAACCTACATTTGTCACTAACTTACACATAACCTACATTTGTCACTAACTTACACATAACCTACACTTGTCACTAACACACACATTACATACATTTGTCACTAACTTACGCATAACCTACATTTGTCACTAACTCACTCATCACCTACATTTGTCACTAACTCACACATAACCTACATTTGTCACTAACTCACACATAACCTACATTTGTCACTAACTCACACATAACCTACATTTGTCACTAACTCACACATTACATACATTTGTCACTAACTTACGCATAACCTACATTTGTCACTAACTTACGCATAACCAACATTTGTCACTAACTTACACATAACAATGTGGATATTTTAAAGCAGTTTTAAAAGTTCAATACAAAAAAACAAGAGTGTATCAGTTTATGACAAAAGTATGTCTATGTTACTTGATGACAGTCTGCTGCATTAATTACCTTAGGTGAAAAAATAGGAAAAAGTAATCATTATTTGTTTTTCATTTTCTATTACTCCATATACAAGGTCTGACAATTAAGTAATGAGAAATAAAGGTCATAGTGGAAGCAAAGCATGGAATCCAAAGAGGCAACCTTCATCTAGGATCTGGCAACTTCGCATCACCGCCTGATAAGGAAACAAAAAGCTGCCATTTTATTGAATTAGTTACATGTGCATTGTTACAAAATCAGCATGGAGCTAAAAAGCTAACATTAAATTCTGTTCGAAACTCAGGGGAAAAAAAGCGCCACTGAGGCAGTTAAATTGATGTGACAAGTTTATGGGAATAATTGCACAGATTTTCAGGTAGTTTTCACAAATCAAAAGTAGTGTAGAAAGGATTACTAATGCAACTAGACCTTATAGGTCCGGTTTCTGTTGGTAATGAGGAACTGATTGCAAAAGTCAGAGAACAAATACAAAAAGATCGTTGTTTGACTGTGAAGATGATGGTGGATGAATTTGATGTTAATAGAGAGACCATTCGTAAAATTTTAGTGGAAGATTTGGGCAAGAAAAAGGTTGCTTGCCGGTTTGTACCACATCCCTTGTCTGATGACCAAAAACATCAGTGTGTTGAGTATGCAAAAGACATCAAAATGTGTCACAGAAATAAAGATTTCCTAAATTTAATAGTTGCAGAGGATGGAACATTGATTTTCCACTCTGATTCCACAACTAAAGGCCAAAATGCTCAGTGGAAGTCATGATCATCACCAAAAGGCAAAAATAATATGTCTTCAAAAGTCGAAAGTTAAGACAATGTTGGTGTGCTTCTACGATAGCAAAGGAGTTATCCCCAAAGAATTTTTTCCAGAGGGACAGACTGTCACAGCCACAGTTGATTTAAGTATTTTGAAACGTCTATTGAGAAGGATTCTCCAACCCGAATATATAACACCTGGTAGTATTTTCCTTCTTCGTGACAATGCATCAGCTCACCGGGCCATAGCTGCACAGGAATTTTTGGCCCCAAAACAAGTGTATGTTCTTAACCATCCACCTACTCCCCAGATTTTTCTCCCTATGATTTTTTTCTGTTCCAAAAATTAAAGTTACCATTAAAAGGACACTTCTTTGACGATATTGATGACACCAAAAGGGCCGTAACATCAACTTTAAGGGCCATAGCAACAGAAGAAATAAAGAAGTCGTTCCAATGTTTGTTAGATGGTGCCACTCGCTGTATCAATGCACAAGGGGCTTACTCTAAATAAAATACAGGTTATATCTTCAACTGTTTTTCATTTTAATTTTTTTGGAATTAGTCTCATTACTTAATTGTCAGACCTTGTTTTTCAGCAACCAATAGTGCTGGAGCAATCCGAGAGAATCTATTGTACTTGTGGAACATCTCCAGCAGGAAATAGTCAGGGTGGTCTTCAGCGTCTCAGTCAAACACGTTTAACTCGGACTGAGGTAATTAATGTTTTATCCATATTGCTTTGAAATGTATGTACATTTATGAAAGATATACACATTGGCAGACTTTTTCTAAGATAACACTGTCTAGTTGTGTGTTGGTTTTCTCCTTCAATTTTGTTAGTGAAGCAAACCTACAGCCTACCTTGCATGGCTCTCACACTGCACAACATGCCAGCAGGACCTCTTCTTTCTTTTTTTTTTCTTTTTTTATGTGAGACAGATGGGTGTCCTGTTGTACTTTCTAATGGATCAGGGGATAGGGGCATGTTTAATACAGCTAGCTAGCAACCAATGGTGAGAATGTCAGGTAACAATGAAAGTGAATCTGAGACTTTTAAGTTAGAGAGTGACCCTTAACTCCTCTCAGGAAAATTGTTAAATACCATGGTGTCAACAAGAGATTAATATCTCCCAGGAACACTGATATGTTGAATGGTAGAACACTGTTACCATCTCATGTGGGATATAAAGAAATTGTTACTCTCTTATGTGGGATATATAATACTGGAACCATCTCATGTGTAATAATTAATACTATTACTATGTCATGTGGGACAGAAATGATAACTATCTTATGTGGGGTATATGATACTATTACTATTTTCTTTGGGATGTATGATACTATTACCATCTCCTTGGGATATATGATACTATTACCATCTTAAGTGGAATAAATAATACTGTTACCATCTCATTTGCGGTGGTGGGATACTATTACAATCTCACTTGAGCTGGAAGAACACTATTGTCATCTCATATGTTGGAGGACACTACTGTTATATCATGTGGGACTGAAGGACACTATACTGTTATATCATGTGGGATGGAAGGACACTATACTGTTATATCATGTGGGATGGAAGGACACTATACTGTTATATCATGTGGGATGGAAGGATGCTATACTGTTATATCATGTGGGATGGAAGGACACTATACTGTTATATCATGTGGGATGGAAAGATGCTATACTCTTATATCATGGATGGAAGGACGCTATACTGTTATATCATGTGGGATGGAAGGACGCTATACTGTTATATCATGTGGGATGGAAGGATGCTATACTCTTATATCATGGATGGAAGGACGCTATACTGTTATATCATGTGGGATGGAAGAACGATATACTGTTGTATCATGTGGGATGGAAGAACGATATACTGTTGTATCATGTGGGATGGAAGGACGATATACTGTTGTATCATGTAGGATGAAAGGACGCTATACTGTTATATCATGTGGGATGGAAGGACGCTATACTGTTATATCATGTGGGATGGAAAGACGCTATACTGTTATATCATGTAGGATGGAAAGACGCTATACTGTTATATCATGTGGGATGGAACAAAACTTTGATCATCTCATGAGGTCTTTCAGATCTTCTAGATAATGATATAATGTAGTAAATTCCTTTCTTATTGCCCAGTGTGGGTTCTGGGGCCCTATTTTATGGTAAAATAAAACAAATCCACTCCCCCCCTCCATGCATGTTGTAAAAATAGGCTAATAAGAGGTTCATTGAAATGGATGTTTTAGGTTAGTTTTGGGGTTAAAAAGTGCAGATATCACAGCCTAGCTAAAAACCACATAGCACCAACTACCCGTTTAAGGGTGAATGAAGGAGACTTGTCTGTACCAATTATTTCAAAGCCCAGTGCCAGAACCAGAAGAGTCTCTGCTAGAGATTGAACCCAGACCTTAGCATTGTAAACATTCTAAGAGGCAGAAGACACAAACATTGGAAAACAAATTTTAAATTTTGAGAAAAGAACTATATTTGTGCTCCTGAAGAATGATGAAAATACCTGTAGGCATTAGAGGGGGGTGTCTTATAATAGACATCATTAGCAGCGTAGACATGTTCATAAGTAAATCCCTGATGCTTTCAGTAATAACATGATGACTTTTTGTCTCTACCTACAAAATATATCTCTAGGATTTATCTCAGAGAATCCACAGTCTGCAGCATTCTGTGGAAAACATACTAGCTTCTGATCGTGAGTATATAGAAAGCACAATTTCTATGTATGACAAAATAGAAAGTCACATTACAAAATTATTTCCTTCTGCTTTGCTTGCCATGGAGGAAACCACAAAAGAGAATGAGGATGCAAACAGCCAGGTCTTCAACAGTACAGAGGTAGCTAATGTTATATTTTCCTCATGTTCTTTCCTCTGTGCGTCTGTCATAAAGTGATATCATAAATAGAATATTGTTGTCCGTTTGTATGATGAGGGTGACATTACCAGATGTTACATGTAGAATGTATAATCGCAACTGCCGCGTGAGATACAAGGTTGCGGATGACATGTACACAGCAGTATGCTATGACCTCCACTACAGCATTCTTTTTGTGTTCACATTCACTCCCCCTCAATGAATTTGCTATTAATTTACACCACCTGGGGAATGGCCACCATGTTGCGATTTGTTTTGTAACCAATTCATGTAATTGCATCTTGACAAGCCAATCTCATCTTCTTCATGGTCACCAGCTGTACACTCTAGCAAAATGTTATGGTTGTTAACCCGCCTCTGAACTTAAGTCTTGTTCCAGAATCTGAGTTTTGCATACCCGTCAGTTTTAGAGATCTGGCTTAGTTTTATGCAGATTGTTGGTTCCTTGTCACTCAGGCAGATGAGGCTCTCTCTGGCTTTAAAGGAACGTTCCTAATTCGTCAATCATTATACTGCTTCTTGGGTGGTGGGGAGAAAAGGGTGGGGGGCAGAACTCAAACATGGAGATATAAAAATAAAATGCTTTGGTTTCCTATTATGGACCAAGGAATTTCTGTTTTTGTCATAAACCAACAAATTATCTTGTAGATTTATAATAAAACTTTTGTAAGGGATGGATAGACACTATTATCATTTGTCGTCTCATGTGGGGTGCAAGAGTATTGTGCCAGGTTAATTTATTGTCCTGATAAAGGACTCCTCACCTCCAAGTGAGACCTGCTGGCAGCAGACACATTTTCTTCAGATTTAAGCAGGCACAATTGTCTTGTAACACAAATAATTGGCAGTATATAAACATGATCATTTTAAATATCTGAGATTTTCAGTAATAAGATGACTATTGTCACTACTACATTCCGTTGTTTTTTCTTCCCCAGGGCGGCATCCGCAATTATGATTTACCTCGAAGAATCGACAGACTGGAACATTCTATTGAAAGCCTACTCGCTTCTAAACGTGATTTGGTACAAAGAATAGGTTCTAGATTTGACAGATTAGAAAATTTGCATAAAAGAGTACTTCCTGATGCTTTTGTTACCATAGAGAAAAACACAAAAGATCATGAGGATGCAGACCGGAGGATCTTCGACTATACTATGGAGGTAGCTAATATTATATGTTCCATTATATTCTTGCCTCTCTGTGTATGCAAAAGGATATCAAATCTTGTTATCACTTCATGGAAGGGGGAGGGGGAATGCGCAGCCTACTGTAGTTGTCAAAACTTTCACATGGCCTTCTACGGATATCATAAACTTTTATACAACCTTCTAAAGTTGTCATCAACTTTTGTACAGCCTTCTATAGTTGCCCTATACTTTTGCACAGCCTTCTACATGTGTCAAAAACTTTCACACAGCCTTCTACAGTTGTTATAATCTTTTTCACAACCTACTGTAGTTGTCAAATCTTTCACATGGCCTTCTACAGATATCATAAACTTTTACACAGCCTTCTGTAGTTGCCCTATACTTTTGCACAGCCATCTACATGTGTCATAAACTTTCACACAGCCTTCTACATATGTCTCAAACTTTCAAACCTACTATAGTTGTCGGAACTTTCACACAACCTTCTACAGATATCATAAACTTTCACACAACCTTCTAAAATTGTCACAAACTTTTGCACAGCCTTCTACAGATCTCCTTAACTTTTACATGGACTATGTAACCTGTGAGTCTGCAACATGATTGCCTGAGGTTTGAGAAGGGAAGGAAACAATAGACAATCTCTCTTTTCCATTTATATTACATCATACATCTCTGCAGTCAGAAGAGCTCGCACATTCAGTCAGAAGCACTTGTAATTGTGGAACATCTCCTGCAGTAGAAAATAACCAGGTTAGCCTTCAGCCTTGCTCTCAACTGGGTTTAGCTCAGAATGAAATAATTAATGTCAGTGAATAGTTTTATTCATATCTTTGGAAAAGGATTTAAATTTTGATACATGTTAGCAGACACTATAATTGGGATGCTACCTGAACATTGTCCAATGATTGATGAAAAGATATTGCCATAGCTTAAATGATCAAAGGTGTGGATCATGCCTGAAACCCTTAAAAGGAAGATATGAAAAGCTAAAAGGCAGACCTAAACAATAGCAAAACTAAAAGCTGCTAAAGTTACAGCTAAGAAAAAATACACAGAAGCTAATAAGGAAGTTAGAAGGGGAATAAGAGCAGATAAAAGGAAATATTTAGAAGACCTAGCACAAGGAGCGAGGACAAAAGCAGCAAAATGAAATCTCAGAGACCTTTACAGTACCAAAAGAAAATTAGTAGCTAAATACAGTCAGTCAAATGGATCAATCAAGAAAAGGTACTCAGCAATATAAAAGGACAGAAATGGAACTGGATATCAACTGTGAGATAAAATATAAGAAGGAAATCAATCTTCCGAAGGAAGGAAAGGTCGCAGGTCCTTACAGTTTCCTAGCAGAACTTATTGGCCAGTATAGACGCATCAACGGAGTTGCTTTACAAATTATTTCTGGGAGCCGGAAGATATACCAGCAGACTGGAGAATAATTGCCATCTGCTAGAGTGAAAACTGGAGAAATTTTAAGTAGGAATTTTTTCAGAAAGACTATTGATAAAAAGCTAAGAGATGAAAATGTAGTTTTTCGGCCAAACAGATCCTGTACTGAAAAAATAACCATATTGAGCATAATAACAGAGCACTGAATTGAATTCACCGCTTTGCATTGGATTCACAGACTAAAACTGTTCACAGCATTCATATGGAATGTCTCTACAAATTTATGGGGCACTATAGGATCCAACAGAAAAAAGTTTTAACTAGGTAAAATTTACCACTTTACATTGGATTCATAGACTATGAAAAAGCATTTGACAGCATTGATAGGGAATCTCTCTTGAAATTGGGGCACTATGGAATCCCACAGAAAATTATTAACTTAGTAAAGGCAACATATAAGGACATGAAGTGTCAAACTTTTCATGAGAGAAAGCTGACGGATACATTCGAAATAAAAACAGGTGTGCGACAGGAATGTCTTTTGTCGCCTCTCCTATTTTTACTGGCTATAGACTGGATTATGAAGACAGCAACTGCTAACACCGGGAATGGAATTCAGTGGACCCCTACAGAACAGCTTGATAATCTATAATTCACTGATGATATTTCCTTTCTGTCCCAGTCACAGAACCAGATGCAGAATACATTAAATATACTTAATGCGAGATCACAGCAGCTAAGTCTGAAAATCTATAAAGGAAAGACAAAGATAATGAGAATAAATCAAGCAAATAGTAATGTGGTTTCTCTTAATGGACCAAGAGGTGAAGTAAAGACGCTGGCGTTGGATAGGACACACACTGAGAAAACCGGAGAACAAAATAACTAGAATGTCTTTGCACTGAAACCCACAGGGCATAGGAATAAAGGAAGGCCAAAAAACACATAGATTAGGGAGCTGGAGAATGAAGTTAGAAAGCTGGGAAAAGCTGGATGCGATAGCAAAGGATAGAACGACTTGGCGTGAGCTGGTTAAGGGTCTGTGCTCCATTGGGGGCTAGAAAGGCAAGGAGAAGAATATAAACATGTTCATAATAAAATCTTTGATGTTTTAGCACTAACAATATGAGTTTTTCCTCTTTTTTTCCTCAGTATTCCCTACCAAATGATGATTTATTTCAGAGATTCTGCAGACTAAAACGTTCTGCTGACAGGCTAGTAACTTATGGTGATGATTTTGTTCTAAGCATAGCTTCTAGGACAAGAAGTCTGCGTAAAAGAATATATCCTTATGCTGTTCGTGCTGTGGACCAAATAAGGAAAAAACAAAAAGAGCGCGAGGATGCAAGCAGCAAGATCCTCAATAAGACTACAAAGGTAGCTAATTATATATTTTCTCCATATTCTTATTTCTGTGCATCCGCTGTGAAAGAATATCATGTCAATCTTGTTTATCTCTTGCTGTGGCTCAGACTGAATGTGGAATTACCTCAGGCTACTAACATGTAGAATTTATCATCAAAACTGATGGGTGAGAATACAAGGCTCAAGATGACACAGCAGTATAACCTGAACTGGAATATTGCATTGTTTTAAGTTCAAGTGCCCTTCACCTGATATAATTTGCTTCAGGTTTACACCAGCTGGGAAAAGCCAGCATGTGAGGGTACACCTTATTGTAGACGAACAAAGAAAATGATGGCATGTTGATCTAGTTATGCATGCTATATATATATATTTTTTAGTATTTATTTTTAAAAAAAACTTGGAACTTGCTAATATCTGTTCATCTACTCTTTTTTTATTTTTTATTTTCAACTGCTGAGTGTTTTCATTTCGCAGAAGAGGATAAGTATCTTACTAATTAAATAATTAGGTATTTCTGACACCATTAGAAACTAGTATTTCTTGTAACTGTGTTTAGACTGAGGTTTTTCCCTCTGCCTTGTATTTTCATGCAGATGGCTGTGCGCCTACATTATACACATGTGAGAAAATGGGGGGGGGGGGGGGGGGGGTTGCGTCTAATTGACGTAAATGCATTGTCCCTATTTACAGCAAAGCTTGCATTTTTTGTGCCATTTTGTTGACTTCATCACTACACTCAGTAACAGGCATTTTCACATTGACTGACTGGGAACCTCTCTAAATTTTAAGTTCCACTATCTGAACACAGCAAGTCAGCCACATCTAGGGATTCTACGATGACCGACAGAGCCTGAGTCCCATCAGCACACAGCCGACAATTACAAGGGTCACTACTCGAAAGCAGAATCGTTTGTCTTGTTTCAGTTGTAAACACCACACATGACGTCACGCAGGACAAGCTTCCTCACAACTGAGCACAGTTCTCCGGTAACTTCTCCTCAACTACTTTATTGCCCCGAGTATATACACGCGTGAATTCTCCGTGACTTGAGACACCCACACTTTTGCACGTATTACATTCATTCCTTCAACCCTTAGTGCCTCAGTCCTGCTCGACACGAACATAGTATGAATATTTACCCAAGCATGTTGACACTTCGTGGATCCACTTGTCAACCCCTGTCCTAAGTCGATGCAGAATCAAAGTATTGATTCAGGCCACATTGACACTTTGTGGATTCACGGTCAACAAGCCTGTACTGAGTCAAATATAAATAATGTACTTTCCACCCAGTATTGTTTTTAAAAGTGTGTTGTCTTATTTCAGTTGTCTCTCTTTTTTTTTACTTCTTTTAATAACTCTGTTTTCATTCACAGTCTTAGAACATCACTGTATCTGATCGCTTTTGTTTTAGTTAGTTAGTTAGTTGGGTTATCATCATTGCACTCCGATGGCTAATAGTACCAGTTCTATGTTGATTAACAAGTCTTCTGACGTGTCCGGTGTGCGTCTTGTTTTTTGCTGTGCCGATCTTAATTCCCAAGTCTGCCATTCTGGCGAGTGATGTGGATTCACTGCCACCAAAGTCCTCTATCCTTCCCATTTCTCTGAGGGCATTGATAATATCAGCATGATCCATAGGCCGACCGTCGGTAGTGAAAGCGGATCCAGCCAACCTGTCAGCTCTTTCATTTCCATCGACGCCTGCGTATCCCGGAACACACAGTGGACTTCTGAATTGATTCAAGCCATTGTCTTCGCACTGAACCTGCCTGAACTCTCCGGATCATACTCATTGAATCACTGAGTATACATATGCGGGTGTATTTTTGTGTTTCAAGCCAGGCAAACGCTTGCGTCACTGTCATCACCTCCATCGTCATGCTGCTGGTTGTCATGGAGAAGGCGCCGTTGGCTTCTTTGACTGTTCTGCCCGCTGAGCGTGCTGTAAATGCCCATGCGCTTCTTCTTTGGCGTATAACGGATCCGTCTGTATAGATTAGTGCATCTGCTTCGTCTGAATTTTCACCGATGAGAGCGTTGACCTCTGCATTAACAGCAACAGGATTCTCTTCTCTACATCGCCTGTTGAGTGTGACAATACATGAAAATGTACAAATAAACGCCTGAGGCACAGGTATCCATTCTGCACCAGGTATGATGTCGGTTAGGCTGCATATTTGCCTAATAACATCTTCTGCCCGACCTAGCCACGATTTTCCCCTCTTCAGTCTGTCGCCCTTTTCACTAAAAAGCGCTTGATGCAGTGGGTGTTTCTTATCAGCACAGATTTTGAGGTATGCCTGAGCCCTCCACATCCTGATCCTTTGGTTCATTGTTGGAAAGTCAAGTAGATACCTCATTGCTCCACAGGATGTGTCTCATGGCTTCATTTTGCACCTTTTTGAGTCGTTAAATCTGGGTAGCACTGACAGTAAGGATGGCCAGAGCGTATTCAATGGGTGAAAGGACCAGACCAGAGAATAGAAGTATTAGTAGTCTTTGCTTGATATTGGAAGCAGCCATAATCCTCATTGCAGATAGACCTTTGCGTGCTTTTGTTATCACATGGTCAACGTATTCCCTGAATGACAAGCTGCGATCGAACCTCACCCCGAGAAACATCATAACGTTGGTTCTGATCAATACATTATCACGCATTTTCACTTCTGGTAAGTCCGACTTGACAATGTGATTGTTCAAAGAGAACCATGACACTGATGCCTTCGAAGTATTGACATAGGCATTAGAACCATCACACCAGGCGGCAATTCGATCGAGTTCTTTGTGCATTGTGCTGGCGATCTCCTGTCTATCACGCCCTCGTCGATAAATCAAAATGTCATCAGCAAATGACAAAGTCCTTCCCTTTCCATTCAACTGCTGCTCAGTGATCATCACCGTATAAACGTTGAATAAGACTGGTGATAGCGGTGATCCCTGTGGCAAGCCTGGACATATCGTTTGCGGTTCTGAGGACCAGCTACCACATCTTAGTACAATCTTTCTCTGGAACAGGACCGCAGCAATCCAGCGGATCAGAATAGGATTGACTTCTAGTTTAAGCAGTAATTGCATTAAATAATCATATGGTACTTTATTGTAGGCATCTTCTAAGTCCAACACTGCCGCACATGTCTCTTCTTTAATCTGAAATCCCTCGTACACATCGTAGGCGAAAACTGCAGCATTGAACCATGTCTCTTTATTTAACCTGTACCCTCCAAGTGTTGGTGGGAACTTATCATGTAGTTCCAAGTAGCTGGTCAATCTTTGTGCGACAATTTTTTCCAAAAGTTTGCCAACAGTGTTCTGCATCGAGATGATTCTGTAGCCGCAGATCTTTGAGTGGTCTTTTTTAGGCTTTGGTAGTGGGAACAAATAACTGGAGCCATTCCTCTTGTATCTGGCCACTCTGGATGCTGATATTGCATTCCTTTGCCACGCTTTTCAAATCAGCATTCGACATCATCAGCATGTCATTGTATCGGATGTCGTCAGGGCCTGGAGCAGTGCTGCGCGATTTCTTGAGGCAAGTTCTTAAGGTGTCTGCAGTGATTGTGAAATCAGTGCCTAGCTCAGTGTTCTCGCACAGCATCGACAGTTTCATCTTAACCCCTATTCTCGCAGCTTCGTCTTTTTGGTCAGTTTGCTCCAAGTAGCGCGCAAGAAGGGTTTTTCCTTTATCAGCATCAGTTCTCTGCCATATCAGGTCTGTAAATCAGGGATACCCCTTAATCGTGCGGCGCCGTGCATGCTCATTTGAAGGCGCCAGAATGTCACAAGAGATCCCTCGGAGTAAACGCTCTTGCAGAATTCGTTCCATTTCGCTGTCTTGGCTTCTTTCGCAATTAACTTGAAAGCCAATGTCCGCTTGTTGACCTCATCTTTCAGACTGATCAGAAAGATCAGACTTTCAGAAAGTGAAAGTGAAATTTTCCTTGCCTTTTGCCATGCCTTGACAGCGTTCCTTTTTTCTAGCCACGCCATGTTGACTACTCGATTCCACCATGGTGGCTGGGCCCATCTCTCCCGCCATCTGCGATCTGCTCTTGTTTTACGTTGTCTGATTTTGCTAATGGCATCTTGCCCTGTACGGTCATATATAAAAGCAGGCACATTGATTACATGACCTTTGTTGTTGCTCTTCTCCACCAGGACGACGCAAGGAAATGATCACTGTCATGGTATCCCAGTGTGCTCCACCTGCATCCTGATGCAATGGAGGGGGACACTAGGGCCAGGTCAATTACGCTGTCAGAATCCCTATGTCAGGTTGCCATTCGGATAACCTTTCCGTCGTTCAAGCATACTAGATCGGCAGACACTAAGGCATCCTCCAGGTCTTCCCCCTGTTTATTGGTGATTACATTGCCCCACTGGTTTCCTCTGGCGTTAAAATCTCCGCAGTAAAGGACTTTCTTTTCCTCATTCTGGAGCAAACTCTGCCATTTCGCTGTATCCACCTTTCCATTGCAGGCGTACACATTGACAATCACAAACTTGGCCGGGCCCAACACTCTGACTGCGTGTACTTGTAGGTCGTCATTATCCCACTCAGACATGTCCACCTCAGACACCAGTATGTGGTCACGAACAAGAATGAGCTGTCCGAGGTGCCGTCTATTGTAGAAGGATTGGAAGCCCGCAATTTTAACGATCTCGTCACCGAGGTGTGTTTCCTGTAGGACAACAATGTCCTTGCTGTAGAGGAGCTTCTCGAAAATGGGTCGGCGTTGACTTAATGAAGTGCAGTTCCAGTAGAAAACGTGAACATACTTTAAGCTGAGTCTCTCACATTTCAGGCGCCGCCGTGCTTGCCTGTTCGCGTTCTCCTTGTCCGTCTACGGGTTGTTTTGAATTGGTAAATAGTGGCCATCGGACGTTGAATACACCCTGAGAGAAGTCTGAACTCACGTGCATGTACTCAATTGCATGGTTCAGACCCCATTCGGATGAAAATTTCACATTATACGAGAGCGAAAATAGTTAATTTGCGCCATTCGCCTCAACGGACGAAAAAGCGTACCGCCATTGTGGCAGTTTTAGTGCTTATATCCACATCTACAGAGATTCCAACATGATTTTCTAGTTCCTTGTTCATTGTTCAGCTTTCTGCACAATAAAGTAGGGTTGATTGTACACAAATTGCAAAGTTCTCATTAAGAGTAGAATGTATCCATTGTTTACATAAATATAATAATAACTCCATGAAGGGAGCAGGCACAGCAGGAGTACCGATCTTCAGTAGGTTGTCCCTCGTACAACAATTTTTAAAATTTCTAGCCTACAAACATCGCCAGAAAAAATTGCTTATGCATTTTGTTTCAAGCAGTTTACATGTATATTTCAATGATGAAATAAGTAGTGTTTGTGGTGAGGGTTGTTCTAAAGTAATGTGCTAGCACACAACAAGGACATATGGCTGGAATCTTGCCTGAGTGTCCATAAAACTAGCTGGCTCCTTAGGTGAAGTTCAGAGTCAATCATTATACACACCACAACGTCTTTAACTCTTCTTTATGCCTGAGACCAAAATCACCGTGCCACAAATAAAGGACTTTTACCCTCAAGAATCACAAAGGTTTTACTGGTTGAGTGACTCAGATGTTCTAGTGTCTGCTTCTAGCTCATGCAGACCTTTTTCATTTAGTATTTTTAAGAAATAAATATAGTCTGTATCTAAAACCATGCATGGTGAATTAGATAATTTTTAGCCTTCTCGAGCAGGGATTTCAAATTTTGGAGGATGTGTATTTTGCCTCAGCAGTTGGAAATGACGAGTTGGCCAAAATTTAAAACAAAACGAAAACATGAAAAAAATTTATTTTAAAACTCTAGATAGATTAGGGATGTTGGAAACATGTCTGATTGTAGTAAATAAATACATTTGTGTCCTTAATGGTGCTGTGGATTTCAGTAGTGTGATTACATTCACACTGCATTACTTATGGAAAGCAATTAGGAAACATTTGTGTGCACCGAGTTATGATTTAGCAAACTCGGAAGACTAGAGGTTGCTTCCACTATTCCATCTGGTGGGAGTGTACTATTTAAATTAGTAAAAAAGCTGCACCGTTCATACCCATGGTTGTCTGCTCAAGTAAAAGGTGGACACCCTATTTCTTTCCATCATTCTCTCATATTCTCACCCTCCCCACATTATGTATGCTACTTATCTACTTGTACATATTTTCTACTTTGCGCATTATAAACATATACATTATTTTTCATTTCATTCACAGGCTCAAAACAGTTCTGCCGCTTTTAGTGTGTAGATGATACTACTACACAGATTGGAACAAATTTCTGACCATAAATTACCATTCTTACTTAATGTGCATGTCGTGCTTATTAAAAAAAACAAAGACTATAGTGAAAATTGTGTGTTGTTACTTGGTGTATGTCCTTCTTGGTACTTTTGATAAAGGATTATTCGTCATTCTCTTCCACTTTTCTACTTGAAAATTAGCTGGTGGTTTTGGGGGTGGGGGCGGTTATTATCATTCCGTGGGACACCCTCCTTTTGTACAATGTCCCCGTTCCCCCCCCCCCCCTTTCCCCCAACCGATATAAAGTAATAGCAACATATGCTGTTACCCCTCACATACAACTAAAACTTCTTGTGTAACTAGCTAAAACGACAACTTGACTCTATTACTGAGTCATCGGTTCCTGATAACTTAATATGATACTTACCACTTTGCCATAAGCTGTAATTTTTACTACAGCTTAAACCCTCTCTGGGTGGTGGGTACCTAACATTATAACATGACACCGGCTGTTTTGCCATACGTTTTCTATTTTTGTTTAATATTTGAAGTCATTGCACTCTAGAACCAGTTGACCCCTTAAACACTTTATGTAACTCCGTCAACACCCAACACTGACTTATTGAGCGGTCAGCACCTAACACTGTGATAGAACACCCGCCATTTTGCTCTGATTTTTTGTCATGTGTGCACTATCTAAAGTCACAAAATGCCCCAGCTCCTGATGACCACTGCCCCCCCCCCCCCCCCTAAGGCATAGTTTTAGTGACTGCCTATCGCTGCCTTGTTTTGTACCACCATAGTCACAGCTCAATGGTTAACAATTGACACCACAACATACCCTGGACAGACATGGTTTCCCCCACCTGTTGGCATGGCACTTAATGATGATGTTAGTTGACTATCCCCTGAATATACTTTCTTACTCCCCTCTCCCCCAAATGAAGTCAATCAGTGCCACAGCTTTCTTATTCTACTTACATAACCTACGGATCCTTTGCTCCGCCCTGTCATGCACCTAATCTGAATCACCAGGTGACCTCAAATTACTGGGGCCTTTCTCTTACCCTAAGCCTCGACTGAGCCACCAAGTGACCTAGGTAAACAGGCCACATCTGGATACATAATTCATATTTTACTCTATTTCTTTGTTGGGGGCGTCTTAGCAAAGGTTATATAAGGAAAAGGCCAATAAAATAGGGGCCGCAATTAACTTATACACCACTGTTGTGTTCTTGGACAAAACGATTGTCAGAGCTGATATCCCAAGTTTCACAATAGATAGTAAAAACTTGTAGAGAGAGAGAGAGAGCAAACAGGAGTATATGGGAATCACATTTGGCGGAGCCTGTCCATGTGGAGACTGCTGTGACAATAACCCTAAAATGGACTCAGTGCTCTTAAGACTATAGTTACAAAGGACATAGAGTACGCCAGCGGAACAGTCAGAATTGTGGAGAGTCATCATGATATTGATCCAGGAGTGGCCAGCAGGTGCAGTACAAGACAACTTTGTATTTGAGATTCTAGATCCCTTTCCTCAGAACTATTATTTTAGAGCAGCAAATGCACTTGTGACTATCCTGATGAGTCATCAATAATAACTTGTGACAGGCCACATAAACTTTAATGTCATTTACATAAGTACACGTCACAAGATGATGATGATTAATATATGTACAGTAATAAGTCTCTATTATCTGCACGGCAATCTTAACAAACACAACCTTCGCTCAATATACTCAGGAAATCAGAAACTAAAACTGTCATCAAACTCTCCCCCTCCCAGACTGCGTCAAAGCACAAACCTCACAAAGAGGAACGTTACTATAATATCCCCATAAAGAGAAACAGATAACACAGCGATTTCGTGGGAACCCACTTTCGACTTAGACGCTAGCTTAATCACAACTAACCCCCAACTGACTGTCCCTCTGAATTCTATCCACATAATTCGATTAAGTCTTATAATTGCATCCACCTGTTCTGTCCTGGTAATGCATTGTCCTGTACAACACAAATTCTTTCCCAGAGTTAAAACCCCCAAGAACTAACACTTCCCATACCTCGATCTTAGCCTCTGACTACTTGACTAGAGCCTATTGTCCCTGAAAACACCCAGATGTTCTCCTCTCAGATAGATCTACCGGCACTCAGGATTAACTACAACTTGCCACTCCCATCGCTGGTTCTCAGCTAGGAACCAATTTCATCCCGGCGTAATAAAATCCTCGCCAGGGTAACCTAAGATTTATGGCCATGTGACCTCTACCTGTCCTCTTTCTGCTAATTTTCATTTTAATCCTCGACTAAATAAGACTACTACATGCTCCTTAAAACCCCTCATGTAACTAGATGATACAACTTAAACCCTCAATGATCCGCTAGCACTTAACAATGTATCATGACAATCGCTATTTTGCCATAAGTTTTCATTTTTTTTTTTTTGCAACTTAATTCCTCACTGGGCCGCTGGCACCTAACATTGTACCAGGACACCCACTCTTATGCTATAAGTTTTCCTTTGTACTACTACTTTAACCCTCACTGAGTGCCTGGTATGTAACACTACGCCACATCATCCACCCTTCTGCCAGAATTTTTTTTTATAGCACTAAATTCCTAGAAGACCTTGTGACCCATGAGATGAAGTTATCAATTACCGCATATGGCACTTAGCTGTATAGTACCATAACCAAAGCCAGTCAGCTAAAAACTGACACCAGACCCCGGAGAGACATGATCACCCTCGCCTGTTGGCATGGGACTTGATGTTTTATGATCACATGTCACCACCCGAGCCTTAGCTGTCACCTACCCCCTATAATCATTTGTATATCTTTTAATAAGTCTAGTGTCCTGTCACTCTAATTATTATCACTTTTATATATTTCTACTATATAACAGACATTTTCTATCCCCTGTTGCAAAACCAATCGATATCCTTATTTTTTTCGTCATTTTACTATATAACCCATAAAACTGACCCCGTAGCCCGCCTCTGCTCACAACCTAAACAAACTTCGTCTCCTCTGCTCTGTCTGTCCCACGGCACATCGACACTTAGGGACAATAACCCACGAATCTTATGTAACCCTTGACTCCGAGCCTAGAACGACGCGCCATGTGACCTAGATAAAAACTCGGAAGTGTTACGCCCCTGACCTCCACCTACCTCTCGTGGGGGGGGGGGGGGGGGGGGGACTAAAATATATGGCAGTAGATGGACTGAGAATATATAGCCACCACGCCCTAAAATACGCCTCATAATTAACCTTTAAAATACTACTCACATGGACTGAAACATCAAAAACTAACTTTTATGGGCTTATGAATGTAGAGGAGTAATTTCAATAAACAATCCTGTTCAACCTATCTGGGATATATAAAGTATTTCTTTTTTTATTTCAGCCATCATAATTTTCATCATCAGTTTCCACTTCTGCCCTTAAGCGTTGTGGGGAGGAACAGTTTTCAATCTACTGCTTAATGGGCAGCAATGCCTATTGTCATTCCATGTCGATGTAATCAGTCCATCATCTCCTAGGGCGGCCTCTTGCTTTAACTTCAGATCTTTTCATGTGTAGCGCCTGCGCTGGTAGTAGTTCTGGCTGCATTCTTACTAAATGTCCAAACCATTTGCTCTTCTGTTTCTTAATTAATTTGCCGCATAGTGCAGTTCCTACAGTCGGTCTAATAATATCATTTCTAGCTTTGCCTCGGATAGTCAAGTTAGTGAATTTTCTCAGGCATCTCATTTCACAAGTGTTAATTTTGCGTAGGTTAACCTTGGATAATGTCCAAGTATGGCACTGGTAGCACAGTTTTAGTATGAATATGCTGTTCATAATCTGTTTATTGGCGCTCATACTTATGTTTGTAAAGCTGCAAGCATTTTCGGGAAAGGGGGAAGCTTCTCCCAAGAGGTCTGGGAAGCTACAAGCCAGGAAATGACACATGAGCAAATGCGGCCACTTTTGCTTTTGACGTCTATGACGTCTGTTCCAGAACAGACAGGAAACTTTGGCGGTAGGACTGGATCTCGAGGATGCTTATAACAGAGTAAGATACGACATCTTGATGAATGCACTGAAGGAGGTCAGTCCATGGATGGCGAATTGGATTGCAGCTGTCCTGTATTCACGTCGGGTTGCTCTTCGACTGGGCTCATGGACCTCAGAACCATACAGTTTGGCCACAGGGATCCGCCATTTCGCCTGTGCTCTTTAACGTGTATACGAGCAAGATTGCAAGCCTAGAAGCACCAGGAGTTGAAGGATATGTGACTTTTGCGGATGATATACTTGCAAATAGGCAGGGGGAAGAGAGGGAACAAACAGCTACAAGCGACAGTGGACAAAGTGATTGAGTGGTGTACACAAATGAGGGCTGTCGCCCACCTGAAGTATCTGGGAATTACATTTGACAGGAGCCTGTCTTTTAAGGACCATGTGGAGAGTGTTGTGACAAGATACCAAAAAGGACTTGCTGTAATTAAGACTATGGCTGCAATTGACATAGAGCAGAGAATGCTTTTCACGCTATATCAGCACCTGATCCTGTCAGTGGTTGATTATGGCCTGGGAATGCTTACCGTCTCAAACAGAGTCAGAGGAACAAACTAGAGCGCATACAGAACGCAGCAATGTGGGTGATTCTGGGTTGCACCAGAGACACCCTAGTGGTGTGTGTGCGATACATCCTTGGTTTATCGACTGTTGCAGGTAGGCACAAGGTGCTGCAGGTGAAGTCATATCTTAGGGTAGCTGCAGACACAGACCACCCTTTGCACGAAGCTCTGGGTGCAGTTAAGGGTCAGCGGCTGATAGGAGGGAAGTCATGGATAGCTCTGGCAGAAGACACAATCAGACAGGTTTGCATCCTTGAAACCATTAGGAGAGGAGTCGGTCAAAGTGTCACCTGAACAGTCAGCCTTGTGTAAGGTCAAAACCACACTGAGCCGGGAATGCAGAGATTGGCCACCAGGTGCCACAGAGGTGAAAATT